AAATATACTTTTATGTATAAGTCATTAGCTTCAAAAAATTCATTTGTGAATATTTTGAACCTATACATTTTATTAGAGTTTGCAAAGTTAGAAACTGTTATAAAATTAATTAACAGAAATTTTTTACTTTCTGTTTTGGGATTATATGTTTTTCATATCATTTAAAAATGTATTTTCTATAATAAATTTTCTTAAATATTCATTATAAATTCTAAAATTTAGGATGAAAAATGAAAATTTAAAAATGAAGTTGTTTTAACTTTTAACCTATGATTTAGCTATAATTCGCGTTATATTTCATTTTAAAAAGAATAAAACGAAAGTTGCTTTACCACGTGAATAAATTTATTACATTTTAAAACTATAATACTAAATAAAACAGCGAGGGAGTGGTTAACGATTTTTTTAATTTAAAGTAATGTTATATGAATATTAGAGAAAAAACTTTAGTTCATTTGTCTATACAAATTGTATTAGATTTTCTGAAATATATTGGATATATTGTATATTATAGTTCGTACGCGCTGAAATACATTTGCTCTTAAGAGAGAAGATATTAAGTTCTGAACTCTAAATTGAAAACTTTTATATTTTACTTAAGATTATTATATATACATGTACATATATATATATATATATATATATATATATATATATATGTATATATATATGTATATATGTAATTTTGTACTTCCATGAATTCCCATTCAGTATTTTTACAACATTTGAATGAATGGATATCTTTTTTACGTTTGTTTAAAGCAAAATTTTGATGAAATTAGTACTTTCTAGGGGTGTGTGAATACGAAGGTTCGTTGAAATGTTTCTCATATAAGAATACGTGTAGAGAAAATTCGTAAGTACATAATATTTTACTAAAAAAAATTTGGTTTTATTATAAAAGTGCCTAGAATAATTACATTGAATTTTTTTAATATATGTATGTGTTATGAAAAGATGCTCCCAAATATCCAATTTATAATTTTTTCCTAATATTAAATGTATTTATTGGTACCTGTTATATCAAATATAACATCAGTTTATATTATGTTATTGACTTTTTGACCTATAATTTTAAAATGTGCTATCAATTTTTTATACATATTATATGTATAGAGATAATATGTATTCACGAAAAATTATAATTTGTTGTATGTATTGAGATTAGCAATAATATATTTCAAGGGGAGCATTTTCAATTTTATTAATAATAAACTTTTCTTTCAAAAGACTGAATTAATATCAAGGCATTGATGTAATATAAATTCATAAAAAAAATTTAAGTCACAAAAAAAATTAATTGCTAAAAAAATTAAAATGTTACGAAAAATTTACACAAAAGTAGATACATTTGTAGTAAAATAATTTGACAAAATTTATTAATTTTAACCCAATTATAATTGGTTAATAGTAGGTATAAGTATATTTTTGAAGTATGTTGCTTTCAAGCCCTTTATTAGTCCTTTCAGAAACTATTAATTTGAAGCCTCTACCTTTTTTACAAGGGAAGCTAAAAGCAAAAAAGCTTGGGCATGGCAACATACTTCATTATTTTGTATTCTGCATACTTTCCAAATATCAAGCATTCGAAAAACGTGAATTTTTTCCATTTTGTATTTTTTCAATTTTCTTCATCCCCACAATTTTGAGTAAAAATTTTTAAAACTTTAAGTTTTTTGCGACAGAATTTTGGCCACTTTATTAGGCCTTAATTTAAGTCCTCAAACGTTAAAAAATTTTTCCGATGCAGGAGATATAGCACAAAAATCATTTTTATGTCCAGATTTTAAGGGCTCTAATAATATGTAAAACTTTAAAAATCGTCACCTTTTCCAAATTTTACTGATTTTAAGCTTAAAATTTTCGTAAAAATTCGTTAAAATCCCTGTATTTGGAAAATCGTTGAGTTTTGACAACAAGTTTCAAAAAAAATTTTACCCATTTTTGATGCCCTAAAGTCTAAACAATGATATATATTATATATTATATAATATTGTACTCTTTACTAAATCACCCTGTATAATTATTTTTCTTAACTTACGCAATTAACCCTTGTAATCGAGCATTATGTTAATACCTATTTAAATTTATTTTTTCTTTATTTCAAAGACTGCATAAATTGTTCATCCTAAATATATGCAATCCTTAATGAAATAGTTTGGTATATGAATAAAAGTAATTTAAATAGTGTAGTAAGTGTACATAGATTGTTTTTAGAAGCAGTATTTACACTTGTTGAAAATATGTTTAAATATGAATTTTTCACAAAATATATGTGTAAAAATATGCAAAAAATTCATTTGTATGAAATTCCGGTCTTTAGCCATGATACTTCGCAAATTTTAATTTCGCTCATTTCATATTTAACATGAAATCCATAAATTAATACATAAATAAATAAATGTTTAAGCCATATATTAGTTTTAATTTAGCACTTATTATTTTATTAATGTTGATTTATCAGTTTTCCAAAAAAATTTCGAAATAACATCACTTATTAGTTCCGTCCGCCCGAGGACATGTTTACAAAAACTGAACTTTTACACCCTAATAGTTATAGCCCCTCAAAGACCTAAAATTATAATTTTTCAACTGTTTATTGAAAATTAAATAAATATTAATAATATAATAGAAAATACTACTGAAAGTAATGTCTGGGTTCTTCTACCGCGGCATACACATTTAAGTTTTATTTGAGCTTTAAAAGAGCAAAATGGCCGTTAAAATTTACCTTTAGTTAAAATCCGTGTTTTCCAAATTTTTGGTATCGTTTTTCTTCTAGATGTAGAAGTATTAAATTTTGGCAACTTTTGGACACTAGTAAATATTTTTTTTTCGTTAGAAGAAAAATTTTTTCCACCTTCACCACCTCTCAAGTTATTGCCCCCCCAAAAGTTTGTAAATTTGAAGTTTTGACACCTTATATTTCGAAACAGTAAGCTTTTCCAAAATTATACAAATGCAGGAAGCATCATTAAAATATATGACTATTTTTCTTAACTCTCGCAATTAACTCTTAAATTCAGAAATAATGTTGAAGCCTCTTTTTTATTGCTCCATCCTAATTTTTTTTATTGCTCCATCCTAAAGGTATGTAATATTTGAAATTTTTTCATATGTGAATGAAAGTAATTTTAATAATGTAGTAGTGTATAGCTTTTAAAAGCAGCATTTTCAGTTGTTGAAAGAAAAAATGCTACATTACAAACCATTGGTTCGACCCAACTTTATTTATTCGACTTTTTATGTAGGTTCTTTGAATATATTTCTCAAGTTCTTTGAATTTCTTAAGGTTTAGTAAGAAACAAATTGACATTTTCCAAAATTGACTTTTACGGCCATTTGCAATCATTTCTATAGGATACTTTTCATTCTCTTATTTCGAAGTTTGATTATTTATGCTTAGATTAGTTACATGTAATACACTTACGTATAATATAAAAAAATAGCTTACTTATATTTTGTATACGAAAAGAAAAAAAACTATAATTAAAAATTAAATATAGTCCATGTTGTTAAAAAAATACATACAAATACAATACATATACATACATACATATATGTATTTAATTCATAATATATTTTGATTTAAGATATTTTCAATAAATTTCGGTTTCTTTTGTATTCTCCTTTTTATAATATAAATATGTCTTATCTTATCTAAAAATAAATTAATTTTCCATTTTTTTAAAAAATTCAAAAGTGTAGAAAACTCATGTGATATTTAAAATATTTGTTTCGTCATGTTTTATACATATATTTATGTTATATTTATAGTTTCTACTTTTGATCGTTTTATGTTTATTTTGCTTAGCTATATTTCAGTTTCCTATTATTTTATTAACAAAATTTTTTCACATAGAGAAAAACGGTTTAAATTTTTAAAATATAGTATAGATTATACAACTTTTTTAAGTATGCGTAAAACGCTTTTAAAAATCTAAGTAGGATCTTTCAGTGTAAATATGAATTATCGAAAAAGCTTCTTTATTTCCAGGTCTAAAACTTTAACTCGTCCAGAGACACAGAACAGAAGAGTTGCTCTATGCTTTAGCAGGTGATGGCGGAGTTACCGCGTATATCAGACGCGTGTAATATATTAATTATATAGAAGTATAGTATAAAAGAAATGTTTGTATAAATTCGCCAATTTTATGCATTTATATTTGTCATAAAATGAATCTTCTGATATTTTTGTTAATTAAGATTGATTTTTAAAAAACATTTTTTAAAAGTAGATTTAAAAAATTAAAGAAGAAAATTAAGAAAAGAAAGTCGTGAAGTAATCGCAGAAACTTTGCATCACATATGATAATTATGTAATTCCTCGGATTCTTTATTGTTGGAAGTTTAATATAAGTTAGTGGTTTAGAAAAATAAGTAGATTTTCGAGGTGAAGTTATGTGTGAATATAGAAATATAACAAAAATTTACTAAACATATACTTTAGTTATTTGATTACCTTTCAAGCAGACAGCATGTATCAAACTGGAGGATTTGTCTAAGTTAAATGTTTTCAATAAATCTTAGAAAAATTTTCTATCTTAATAACAAACTCAAGCTCACGATGAAACTTAATCGAAAATGTATTGGCGACTATAAAATTTCCTTTTTTTTAAGTTAAATTTTGCATATAAAAAAGAAAGTAGCTTAATTTTTTTTTATATAGATTTACTGAATTTGATTCATGTTAGATTTAAAATAAGCCAAAAAAATATGCAAAAGTATATATTTTTGCAAACGAAATGTGCTGAATATTATTATTTGGTATTGATCCCATGATTATTTTTCCTTAGTGTATTGGTATATTTTCTCAAAAATTTTCATTCGGAAAATTTCTAATCTTCCACAATAAATTAGAAATTTTCTCTCCTAATTTAAATATTTTCGCTCGAAAAAGACGAAAATACAAACAACAGAAAAAATGTGTTTTAATATTCTTAGTATAAAAAACACTGTCGCGCACGGAAAATCGGAACATTTTATTTTGTTTAAAAATTTAATTTCTTTTAAACTTTTCAGTTCTTTTTGTTTTTAGTTTTTTTTTTTTCGTTTTCCCTTTACTTTTAATTTTTGTTAGTTTCAATTTCTTTCGATATGACTGATTTTAATGAAATATATTAAGAAGAAGAAAAGAAAATTAACTTTTACTTGGTTTATTTTTACGTTAATTTTTTCCTTTTTAAATAAATTTTTTTCTTGCGGGATAAAGAAATCTTATACAAATATAAATAATAAAATTTGTATTTTATTTACATAACTATTAAAAATTTGAATATGGTAAAACTGTAAAAAGAATATATTTTTTGAAGTTATCTGAAAATATCAAATAAAATAATGTTAACATTCCAAAGAAAATCAGATATTTGGGTTAATGTTGTTACTCAAAACGTATTTAATAACATTGATTACGGATTTATGCAATAACCTATTTGTAATGTTATAACTTTATAATTAAAAAAAAATTTTTTTGATGTAGAATCAAATCTTAATACAGTGTCCCAAAATTGTTGTTTTTAACATATTAAAAATTAAATATGAAAGTATCTCTAAAGAAACGAAATCCATAATATATTTAATCAACATTGGGATAATATTACGTAAACACTCACAATACGAAATTTAAGGTTGCTTTGATGACTATTCACTTCAATTTTGTATTTTCATAAGTGTTAAAAGTGATTTTTTTAATTTTTTTTAATTTCGATTGGCCTTTTATATGATTTGAATATGGAAGAATACAAAGAGAAGTAAGTATAAGTTCAGGTAGTTTTTTACAGTAACAATAAATTATTGTAACATGATTTAATTGTGTTGTAGAAGATTCTAGCAACACTTATTTTTGCTGCTACTTATTAATTGGCAGCATTATCAATTTATTTAGCAATTCTTACGCCGCTGTTGGATTTATACTTTGCCAATTGATTTAAAGACAGTATTTTAAAAATAAATGATTTCAAATATATAGTAATGTATGTATGTATATATGTCTATGTGCTTTTTTTTACTTAATAATGTACGTTCAAATATTAATTTAAATTTTTTGCTATCTTGTACATGCAATGCTTAATCTATTCAAAACTCCTATTTGCTATTTAGCTTTTTCAACGTTTTTAATTATATATTACAATATATATTACATAATTATACTTGAATGTGCACGCTTTGAGTAGCATCTCAACTATTTAACACAATTTTTTCTATTCTATATGCTTTAAATATTTTGGTTTTACATACATAAGTATAATAGGTACTGTTTACATATTAAATACATACTTTTTTTTATTTTTAATGGCAATTATATGTAATACACACATATTCCAAAAAAAACCTTTTATAGAATAAAAAATATACTTTATATACGTACATAATACATAATTTCATTTTTTATATAAAAACATACATCTAACTTCATTTTTTATATTCAAGTTTGTTGCTCTTTTTACTCTTCTTTCTAAATTCCAAAGTTTGTATTTTGTCTTTCTAAACATTTATATTCTCAAAACCAAATAATTTTTATTGTGGAGTCAAATTTTTTGACATTTATGACAAAAAGGTAAAACTTAAATTGATGCGACCATCGAAATTTTTTATTTTATTCATTTTTTGCCTTTGTTTTGATATACATATACCCTTATTTATTTATTAATGATTAAATTATTTGTTTCCTTTTTTAACCCTTGACTACTTTTCGATGAATTTATTAATAATAATAACAATAGTGTAACAATCTACCTCAAAATCTTTTTTCTATATAAAAAATAGCGATAATAATATTCCACTTTGGAGTTACCATTTTTTTATATTAAGTATTTAAACGTCTTTATGCAGTAGCAGTTTAATAAAGTTTACTATTATTTTAAAAATTTGAAATACAGATTAAAATATGAGAAAAAATCTCCTGACCTTTGTCAAATTAGGTTGAGAAATAACATAGATGAAATTACTGGAAGTAATTTTTCAGTAGTAAATGAAAGATAAATAAGTATAAAAGCATTATAATATAACATAAGACTTCACTAGTCCCTGTAATCTTACTCTAAGAGTCCAGACAGTTTTCGTGTAAGGCACTTCAAATACAGAAACATTAAAGAAGTACTTTAGAATGTTTCACATAAATGTTAGTGCGGAGTAATTGCCGAGAATATTAAAAGTGAAACAGTAAGGAAAAGTAGTACACCATGTACATATAGTATACATAAATAACAGTAAACTAATTGTGTTTGATTCTACTTTTGATTTCTTAAATATAAATTAAAAGATCTAACACGTAACAACTATGAAAAAATTATTTTCATAAAAAATTAACGAAAATACCTGAATTTTAATTTTTTTAAAAACTAATGTTATAAATCTCCTTTTAACAGTCAAAAATTTTTATTAAATGCATGACTATTATCCGATTTTGTATTATTGGTTTTTTTTACTATCTTTCAGAGAAATATTAAACGACCGTAAAAGAAATCAAGTGAGCAAAATTCATTAAGGTGTTATAGTTTTTCTATCAAAAATTAAATTTTAAGAACGAAACATCAGTATTATTTAAATATTTTTTTAATACGAAAAAGTAACATTTTGCAAAAAAAAGTTTTATACTGTAGACTTTTATACAAATAAAAATAAAGATTAAAACAGTTTTAAGACGAATTATTTGGTTTTCAAAAATATTACATATTAAATTTTTTTGGCATTGAACTGGGATTATAAATAAATTTTTTTTAAATACGAATAAAACGAATTAAATAATACCAAAAAATTTTGTGTAATGATGACTAGCGGTATGATGGAAGGGCAACAGAACAATGGTGGTAATCAATCCAACGTTAGTGGAACTGGAACTGTTAACACTGGAAATAATTTGGGAAGCGGAAGTGTAGGTGCCGTTGCCGGTGGCGCAGGAACTGGTGGTGGTAGTAGTAGCAGTGTAGATGATTCAAAAACAAATTTGATTGTTAATTATTTACCGCAAACAATGAATCAAGAAGAGATTCGATCTTTATTTGCTAGTATTGGTGAGGTTGAAAGCTGTAAACTAATTCGAGATAAGGCAACAGGTAATCAATTTATTATGGAAATATCGTACATTTATGTAAATATATATGTTTATATTTTTGTGCGCTTTTTTATTTAAATATTTTAGGCCAGAGTCTTGGTTATGGTTTTGTCAATTATCAAAGACAAGAGGACGCAGAAAAGGCTATTAATACACTGAATGGACTACGTTTACAAAATAAAACTATTAAAGTAAATTATCAAATATTAAAATAACTTAGTACAAAAGTAATAATAACAATTTTGTTCAATTTAAAAATTATATGAACTTGGAAATTGGTATTTAAAAACTATAACTTTAACTCATAATCTTATTTTAAATCTTGCTACAATAAATTACGTGCGATAATTGTAGGTATCAATCGCCCGTCCGAGTTCAGATGCAATTAAGGGAGCAAATTTATACGTTTCTGGTCTTCCAAAAAACATGACGCAGATAGATTTGGAACAATTGTTCAATCCATATGGAAAAATAATTACCTCAAGAATTTTATGCGACAATATAAGTGGTAAGTAAATGCAAACCCAAACAGGAAACTAATATGTATTAAAATACGTATATGTAAGTTTATTAAAAATTAAACATTAAATTTTTAATTAAAAAATCTTTGATATTGTTTTGTGGGAGAGTGGTAGAATAAATTTCCCGTGTACATAAATAAGACTTATTTTCATATTAAAATAAATTATTATAAAGAATAAATATAAATAGTTAATTTCATTTAAAATGGCAAAACTTTTTACAAGAAGTTGGTAGTTTTAAGAAAGTTTATAATAATTTAGATTAACATGAAAGTCACCCGCAAATCTTGTTTTAGTCATATGTTTCACATAATTCATTTTGCTTAAAAAGTTTTTATTTAATTTTGTTACAAAATTTCTTGTTTAGTTTTTTATATTTTATATTTTTCCAATTTTTCTTTTTTCAAAGACCAACACTTTATTCCTCCCAGTGGATCCAACAGTTCTGGTAGGTAAAAACAAATGAGAAGTAAAATTTGTTGCTTTTTATTTTGAATGTTTTCCTTCATTGACTTCATTTGCTTTTTTTACGCATTTAAAATGGTTCTTTAAAGCTAAGTGAAGATTATACATCTTTCAATTTATGTTTATAAATTATAGTAGTCTTTTTTGGGGTTTCTTAAATAATTTTTTGATTTGAAATATTAATATTTAATTTTTATGCGAATATCAATCGTTTTATGTAAAAAACACTTTAAAGCTAATTGTAACCCGTTTTGACTTTGGGGACTTTTGTAGAAAGCTCTATTAGGACACGCCATGGTATTTTCGTTAAAAAATTGAAATTATTTTCTTTCACATACTTATTTACAAAAGTTGTCTATAAAATTTTTAGAGATAATTTCAAAAAGAAACCCTGGTTTTGAATTAATATGTATGTAATTAAAATGTTTGTGTTTATTTTGAATTTTGAAATTTGTTTCATCAAATTCACAAATTTTTATTTTACTAAAACCTCTTATACATACATCCTTTACGGCTTATAAGTTTATAGTATATTTTATACTAACATTGTTTCTTTTTAACATTTTACACATTTCGTTTAAGAAAAATAAACTTTTTTGGATGTTTACATTCATTTGTAGTTAAATTCTTTATGTAATATTTATATAATTCAAGGTCTTTCTAAAGGGGTTGGATTCATTCGATTCGATCAACGTTTTGAGGCTGAACGTGCAATTAAGGAATTGAATGGAACCGTACCGAAAAATGCCACCGATCCCATTACAGTAAAATTTGCCAACAACCCAAGTAGTAATAAAACAATGCAACCTTTGGCAGCATATATGCAACCACAGAACCCACGTGCGACTAGGTACTCTGGAGCAGCGGCAGCAGCAGCTGTAGCCGCGGCTGGACTTCATCCTACAGCTGCAGGACGTTACAGGTTGTAGTTTAAAAAGTTTAAGTCTATTTGAAATTTTATATATAAATAATTGAAGGTATTCACCTTTAACTAATGATTTGTTAGCAAATACGATGATACCTAGTGCTGCGGCTGCAATAGGGGGTGGATCCTGCTGGTGCATATTCGTGTACAATCTAGCTCCTGAAACTGAGGACAACGTTTTATGGCAATTATTTGGTCCTTTCGGTGCTGTACAATCTGTTAAGGTATTTGCTTCGTATTAAATTTTCAAATTTGAAGATCTTTTTCGTTTAAATATTCTTCTGTTATTGAAGTATCTACACACATTACAATTCCTTACACATATACATTACAGTTGAAAGAGTTTTAAAATTTTACAAGAGAAATTTAATTTTGGGTGTAGAAAAATGGGAGCTTTCAAAAACAATAAATGTTTTATTTTGGGTTTCATTTCATCATATTTTACTGTTGAATTTTCTATTATTTGTATTTCATTTAATTTTTCTTCCACAGTGAGGGTTCTGCGAAAACTGTTTTCACGATCGTTTCGATTCGCTGATGACAAATACACGGTTTCAGTAGGTCTCTACGCATTACTTCATTGAGCTAATTTATTAATTTTTTTGTGGAACGCGAAAATTTGGAAGAACATTGTGAAATATACAACCAGTAAAATGACACTAACTCACTTTTAAAGCATCCTTGAATGGAAAAACCTTAAAATTTCATTAATTAACTTAATTTCAATACTTAAATATAATAGTTTCGTTTAATAGATACGAACGTATAGCAATGCTTATATTTTTCACCAATTGGAAAACTTCTCGGCTGGTTGACAAATTCTACAAATTTCATGATTAGTTGTATGGTTTTTATTTTCGTTTGTAACAATAGAGATCCTGAGAGTGAATGATTTCATATAAAATCTTATTTTGAAGTAGTTCAATGGAATATAGGTCACTTTAGTGGAGTCTGAAAATTAGATCCTTGACTTAGATATTTGATTATGTACCACAACTTACTAACTTGAACATTTGCTTATGTGCGCAAAATTATAGCAAAACCTAAAAAAAATTAAATCAAAAATCTCTTCAGTAAGTTCTGAATTGATGATTTACCCAAAATTATTCACAAACCAAATAGGGAGACAACTTGCAAATATGAACCAAAAAAGGAAACAACTTGCAAATATGAAACATTTTTGACGTGTTTTTGCGAAAGAAGTATAATTTTTACTTAGAAATTTTTTAGAACTCGACCTTGTACATATTAAGTATTTTTGGAAAAATCTCGAAAATTTCTACAATTTTTTTTAGAAAAATTTTGAAATTCGCGCCCACGTAGCCGGTGCCCGATGCTCAATTAACATATACATCCAATTAAATTCACCTTTTCTAATAATTTTGTAATCTTACTTTTTATAATATAGTTTTTATAGCCATATTTTTTACATTTTCCGGGAAAAATAATTTTATCATTATGAATTTGAAATAAAAACACATTATAAATTTAGTTATTAGAAGGTTGAATCGGTTATTTTATGAATTTGATATTAACGGTTTATTATGTGCGTATTAAACCTTGTAAATATTTTTAGGTAATTCGTGATCTTCAATCAAGTAAATGTAAAGGATTTGGTTTTGTAACAATGACCAATTATGATAAAATTAGAACTTAATATGTACAAGGTCGAGTTCTAATTTTATCATTATGAATTTGAAATAAAAACACATTATAAATTTAGTTATTAGAAGGTTCAATCGGTTATTTTATGAATTTGATATTAACAGTTTATTATGTGCGTATTAAACCTTGTAAATATTTTTAGGTAATTCGTGATCTTCAATCAAGTAAATGTAAAGGATTTGGTTTTGTAACAATGACCAATTATGATGAGGCCGCAATTGCAATTCAATCTTTAAATGGTTACACATTGGGTAATCGTGTATTACAAGTTAGTTTTAAAACTAATAAAACGAAGCAAACATAATTAGCGGCTGTCGTTGCGCAGCAACAAATTGTTCAGCAACAGCAACAACGAAATAAGTCTGTTAACAATTTTCAACCTCATCAACAGCAATATCAACATCAACAGCAATTCAAACAACAAATTCAAACACACCAACAACAATTTCTTGGCCAAAACCACCCTCTTTTTCAAAATCCTCCATCCCATCATTCACATAATCAAAATCATCAACAGACCGTATTTCAGTTGCAACAACAGCTGCGTCAACATCAAGAATTGCAACACCAAAATCTTTCGCTAGCTGCTGCGGCAGCTATTCTACAAAAATTTAATAACAAAAACCATAACAAAATGCGATTTTAAATCATCATTAAAATCGTATTATTTAAATACGTACATAAATTTTTTTAAGTTTTGTAATTTAGGTAGCAGTAATTTATTTATTTTTACTTTTTTTTTTGAATATTTGAATTAACAATGAATTTGTTTTATTTATTTTTGTTTTAAGACTAAAATTGAACGTTTTTAAAAATTAAAAAAAAAACAACTGTTTATAAAATCTACTCAAAAAGTTTAAAATATGACTTTTTCTGACATTTCACAATATTAAAAATGTACTTTTAAATTACGTTTTTCTAAGATAAACATTTATGATTACGTTTTTTTATTAATATTATAATTTTTTTTGCGTACATATATGAATAAATTTATAAACAAATTTTTTTTAGATTGATTTTTTTGTTTATACTGCTTGATACTAAAAAATATCACAATTATGCAAGTCGTCTTATTTTTACTTTAAATTTTTATTTTAATCTATCGGTTCTAATTTTATGTTTATAATTTTTGAAGCAAATTAAACATAAGAACATTTTAAATAATTACTACTCAAATATTATGAAACCAAATAATATACTATTATTATGTTATATATATAATAAAAGTCTTAAAAAAATTAAAAAAAGTAAAGTTTAAACTAAATACATAGATAAATTGTTGAAAATGTAGTTTCAATAATTTTGCATCAATATATCTGGAAAATTTTGTTTCCTAATATTTTGAATATATTTTAGCTACATTTCAATTTTATAATTAATAAAAATGAATATTAAAATGCATTACTTATAAAAGTAGATAAATTGGATTTTCAAGTCTTTGAGATTATGTAAATACTCAACCATTGCGGAAAATTAGTTAATAATTAAAAATTTGCAGATCTTACATATTTGGAATTAAAACATTTAGTCAATCAAATTAAAATTATAACTTCAAAAAACCAAATATGGAAATTATAATAAAAAAAAAAAGTATCAAATAATTTATTTCAAAAAAACCCTTATGTGTAGAAAACTGGATTGCAACTTTTTGTTTTATCAATGAATTTTAAAATTGTTTTGTATTTGGTTTTTGTGCATTTAACAGGAATTTGATAACAATCCTTTTTTTATGAATAATGGTTTTCATTATCAATATTTTACATTTTATGACATTATATTACACAATTCCAGTTTTATAGAAACAATCAAAAATACATTTAAAATATAAACTCTTTTAGAATAATCGAATAATATTAATAAATAGTTAAAAAAAATAACTCATATTTTGATTACTTACATAATTCTAATATGCAATAATCTTAAGTAAATTTACGAATAGTTATTTAAAGTCAGCAATCGAAAATTTTGAAAATAAGCGTTTAAAACCACAAAATGAAATCTAAACATAGAAGTAATTATGCCAAACGTGCATACAGATTTAAACTGTACTTAATTAAGATTAACATTAACAAATAAAGTTTTAAAAAAAATTGAATTCTATACAAAACCAACAGATTATATTATTTATTGACATGTGTAAAGTACACATTTCCGTTAATGTTTTTAATTTATTTTAATATACATCCACAAAAATTTTTTATATAATTTTCCTGTAGAAAAGAGTAAAACTAAAAATTGCAACTACATGTATTTAGGTATGTAAAATAAAATTTATAAATACATACAATAAAACGTTTTGAGCAATAATGTAAAAAAATTATATTACATGTATTTAAAAACGAAGTAATAAAAATAATGAAATCTTTTAAATATAATTTTAATTTAGTTTAAGTGTGTATTCATTTGTGTCTACAAAATATGCTTCTTTTTCTTTTGAATTATGATTTTTTTAAACAATTTTTATAACAAGTATTTTAAAATACATTTTTATAATTTTATTTTATGGTTAAAATTTATTCGCCCATGGAACCTTAAAATTAATAATAAATCTACATATATGCATGAATTCAAGATTAGGGACCTGCCTCTATTATTTTCAGATATTCAATTAATTATTCAAGTACTTTTTAAAAAAAACCAGTTTTGGTTCAACTCCTATATATGATTAAAAATATTTTTTTTTAATTATAAGATAAAAAGTATTTTACTAGAACGATTATAATTAAAAATAAGTTTAATATTAAGACTGCAGGGCAAGTCTACTTCACGTGTAGTCTGAATCAGTTTTTAGATTTTATACAACATATATTATATTTGAAACGTTTAACGTGGAAAATTCTTAAATTGAAAAAAAAAAAATTGATGATCGAAGAAAGGATATATAGATATAGTTACCATAAGATTTGGTAATTTTAAATCACTAAGTATTAAAATATTAATAAATAAACATCCAAATAAGATTTTCCTGAATATTTACTCAATTTATATTCGCAAATAATAGGTATTCAATTTACCCATTACTTGCGAATTTAATTTGAGAAATTTTGAGAATAAGAAACCAATTTATGTATTTAATTAAGCACATGGGCGAGTATATTCAAAAGAATTGTTACATTTACTAGAACTATTGACATGAAGAAACTCGGGTCTGCAAGCTATTATTTTTTTAATTGTTTACTTAAAGCTTAAGATAAATTTTTACAAGTTTTGGACAAAGAAAATTTGTAAAACTTTTCGGTTAATGCAAATAATAATAAAATTATTATTTGTTAGTATTATAAAGTGATTGACTAGTATCAATAAATTTATAGTATTATGAAAAAATATTGAATTACAAAATAAAACAAAATGTGCATAGTACAGAAATTTGTTTTTTAGCTGTATGTACTATAATACTTTAGAATTTTTATAAAACATCTATTTACATATTTTCAAAAAATTGTTTTAAAATTAGAAATTGTAAAATTGTTGCTATATTATTTATAATGCACTTTGAAAATTTTATTATTGAAGTTTGATAGAAGAGAACACAATCAACAGTTTGGTTGTTGTATCAGACTTTATGTCAGATACAATAAATTCTGTCAGATTAATATGACAAAATGTTTTATTGTATTATAAATTAATACTGTTTTGTTTGTCTTAATCAACAAACAAAAACCTTTTTGATAGAAAAAGACAATTTTTTAATTTATTTTGATTCTTTTATGTACATATTTAAAGGACAATCTTTTTCATTTATAAAATTAAATACATTTAACGTCAGCCGGAACTGCAAATTAGTATACGTACATTGTTTTTTAAAAGTAATCTTGGTGCCTATTAAGAAATTAAAGTTTTTGAATATGCAAAATCTCGGCCTTAAGAGCATTTTCTCCAAGAAATATTTTTTTAAAACATTGGCATTAAGTTTCTTGCATATTTTTATTTGTTAAAAAATTTTGTTAAATAATTAATCATTGTTAAAGTTTTTTCCTCTTATGTTGTAAGCCAAGTATCTTATCTTTAAATTTTAAAAAATATATATTTTGATTTCGGGGAATCTTATACATACATGTAGTTCGCAATATTATATGTATATGTGTATATACATATAAACAATTATAATTTTTAATCATATAGTGTTAATAAATTTCTTGTTTTCAAAAGGTAAATTATTTTAGCTTTTACACTACGTTTTGTATTTTTAGTAAAGGATTGTAGGTAGTGTTATTTGGTATTTTGATCATCATTGCAAGATCAAATACTATGACCATTTTTGATATGTTACACTTGTCATTAATTATATAATATTAGACTATGCTTTATACAAGTATAAAGCATAGTCTAATAATATCCTTGCTTTGCCACCCACTCGTAAATTTCATGTGCGTGGCATCATTTTATAGAACTAAAAAATCTTGCCAAAAAAAGTAATGTTCTTTAAAATAATACAATTAGTTACTAGTCAATTTCGATCGAATATAGATGTACCTTTATATTTATATGCTCACTGATTGATATTACTGAGTTAAGACACAATTATAAAGACACATTCTTAAATTTTTTACAGTTTTTTCAATTGAATTGATAACTTTTTGGTAATGGATTTTTTGTGTTATGAAGTTTTAAAAATTTTAAACCCAACGATTACTTATTATACAAGTATAAAGCATAGTCTAATAATATCCTTGCTTTGCCACCCACTCGTAAATATCATGTGCGTGACATCATTTTATAGAACTAAAAAATCTTGCCAAAAAAGTAATGTTCTTTAAAATAATACAATTAGTTACTAGTAAATTTCGATCGAATATAGATGTACCTATATATTTATATGCTCACTGATTGATATTACTGAGTTAAGACACAATTATAAAGACACATTCTTAAATTTTTTACAGTTTTTTCAATTGAATTGATAACTTTTTGGTAATGGATTTTTTGTGTTATGAAGTTTTAAAAATTTTAAACCCAACGATTACTTGAAGAACAAATTAATATTAAAGAAATAAAACTTTGTTTTTAAATAAAAAAATTTAGATAAAATACGTTAGCAAGAAATAAAATAAATTTTTTTAACATCTTCGCCAATATCTCTTGAAATTAAATTGACTTTTGACTTTCGAATTAAAAATCGTGTTTAAACCGAAATTCTAAGCTGAAAAATTTTTCTATTAGAAAAACAAAAGTTCTCAAAACAGGAATTTTTGAACAATTTTAGGAATTATTTAAGATATAAGAAAAATAACCAAAAATTTGTGGTGCTGATAATCTTGACATAAATTAATAATAACACATTTAAAATTTTATATATTATAAAACTAAAAATTGATTTAAATAATATAAAAACCAAAACAAAAATAACCATTAAAAGGCACGAATATTTGATATGACTGACTATACATTACGTATGTTTATCTACAGTTATAATTATAGTCGATATTTAATTTAAGGCAAATTAAAAGATACGATATTTAGTACGATTTTTTATTAGGCATTATAATAGAAATTTTTCTTTATAAAATAACGAATTTCTTTATGAAATAAAAAAATTAAAATTGTTAAAATGCCTCATAAACCAAAAAATAAATATTTATACTATAGTATCATAAGACATTATATTAAAAACAATAAATTAAAATTGAAACAAATAAATTAATTCATAATGTATGTAACAATTAATTTAATTTTTTTTTCAACCTATAATTGCATAGTTTACATACATATACACATGCAACTTTGACTATTATTAGAATTTTTATCGTAGGCATACATTTTATGTTGACATTATATAAAATGTCAGTGAACATGTGCAGTTGCAACTACTCTCTCGGAGTCACTCAAACATTAGAAACTTTCCTTTTTTAACAAGTCCCACGTTTATAAATAATAAAGCGGAATAAATTATTGTAAATTAAATTAATTTATAATATGATTTTACCCATGATTTGTTTTAAGTTAGATATACTTAAACAAAATTTGCTTGTTTAAAAAAATTATTACAATTTTTAAAAATATCTGTGTGTAATTATATAGAAAATATTTTTAAAATATTTACTTCTATTTAGCAAATGTGAATATGAATGTGAAATACATACATACATATATGTAAATACAAATGTTTTAAATTTTTTTGAATGACTACATTTTTAAATTTATGTAGAAATTAACCAATTTAAATTTTATAAGGACAACGAAAAAATTTTACTCC